AACCTTTCTCTAAATAAAATACAAAAAAAAAAAAAAAGGCTGGGGATGTGGCTCAGTGGTTGAGTGCCCCTGAGTTCAATTTCCAGAACCACTTCCCCCTGCAAAAAAAAAGAATATGGAGAGAACCAAAAGCTTTTAGAAATTTAAAAATTGTTAGCAGGCATTTAAAAAATCTGTTGGAGGTTTAGAAGATGAAGGTGAAGTAAGCTTTCTATAAGCATTTCTATAAGCAGAACACTCACAAAGAAATGTAAGATGAGAGACAAAATAAAAACAAACAACAAGAGGATCAATCAAGGAGTCCAACATCTGAATATTCAGAAAAAAAACAAGGAAAATAAAAGGAAGGGAAATTTCAAAGAAACGGTTTAAACTATTTCCCAGAGCTAACAGGTTTGAGGTCCAGAAGCCCTATTGAACAGTGGCTCAGTGATTGAAAACCCAGCACTGTCAGGCATCTTGGCATTTGAGAAACTACCATTTTTCTGTGAAAAGTAAAAGTTTTAATATGTTTAAAAAGAAGTAAAAGATTATCTCACCAAATTAAGGTAAAGAAGATTTCTTAAAACATAAAAGGCAAAATGGTTTTTAAAAAGGAATAAAGGTCAATAAATTTATTACATCAAAATTTTAAATTATGTATAATAAAAGATGAAAACATTTAAAAGAATAAAATAAAAAAATTTAAAAGCCTTAGAACTGTAAGCCATAAACAGGGATAAAATAGTTTCAAAGAACATAACTTATAAATAATTATTATCTAGAATTTATAAAGAACTATAAATTATTTAGAAAAAAAACAAACACTTTCACATATACATATACAGTGCCAATTGAAGGGTTATGGAAAATAATGTTCCTATAAGACAGCCCCTAGAAAATATGGAAAGATGCTGTGTCTCCAGAGGAGAGAGGAACTTAGCCAAACATTAAACCCCCTTAGTAAATTCTTTACTGGTAAAAATGGGCTGCGAGGGGAAAAAAGCAAGCTTTCATCCTTTCCCAGGTTCATCCCTAGCATCTGCACCAAAGGCAAACATTCATCCCTTCCCAATCCCAGTGGGTCCTGAAGGGAGGAGGTGGATACTGAAATGCTGGGCCCTTGACTTGGACCCTTTCCATTGCCAGTGAGTCCTGGAAGGAGAAAAGCAAACAGTGAAGCTCTGGGAAAAATGGATTCTAGAGGAAGAAGATAAGCAGTGAACACTGGGTTCTCAGCTTCTCCCAGTGACAATGAGTTTCAGATTTTTTATAACTTATTTCCTGAATGCTCAAACCAACACATTCTGCCTCAGTGTCCAATAATTAAACCACCCTCATTGTGAACTATAAAACTTAGAACCCTCTGTAACCGGGGAGCCATTACAATGCCTGATTGATTGACTTCGCTGGGGAATAAAGGAAAGCATGTTGATCTGTTTGAGGTCTGCTTCCATCTAGGTTATTTGTGTTTTCATAATGGTGCCAAAACTGTGTTGGTTATTTTTGCTTACACAATATCAATAGATATCAATATATATATATATATCAATAGATATCAATAACGAGGATAGTAGAAGAATTACTAAAGTAGAATTGCCAAAAGGTGAAGTAAGAGGAAAATATTTGCCACCTAACAAATGATTAAAGGAATTAAAAAATTAAACCATAAAGGGTATCATATTCGCAAATTTTAAAAAAGTAATAAAACTAGTATTCAAGGATATGAAAAACTAGAAATCCTAATCTAGTAGAGAGTACTAATTTATTCTGTTAGCTTTTGGAGAATAATTAGGAACTTTCCATTAAATATGAAAATGCAAATTCTCTTTGGCCCAACAATTTTAGTCTCAGAGAGTGCTGGGGCATGTTTCCAAGAATATGTACAAAAATATTTATTGTAAAACGACTTGTGATGTTGAAAAACTGATCACAATACAATGACCACAGATAGAAGATAGAAGAATTAATAATTGTGTTGGGGAATATAATCCAATGTTTATATAAAAGAGAAAATGAGAAGAGCCCATCATGCCAGAATAAATACTCTCTAAACATACGATTTGTAGGGAAAATAAAAAGAGACACAGAGAAAATACGCAGAAGCAAGAAAGATGGCAGAATGGCAGAATGGCCAAGCTACCAGCTTTATTTATATCATAAAGGTTACATGAGGTTACTGGTATCAGTAGTACATTATTGTTCATTATGTCATTAGGCAGGTTATAGAGTTAGTAACATTATGCAGCTTATTCCCCAGTTACATGCTATAATTGCAATGTGCAATGTTAGGAGCTTTGTGTAGCTCTCAAGAAAGTCTATTTTTCAAAAGTTACTGTTATGTGGATAGGTTCAGGTGCAGTGAAGCTTGGTGAAACACTGTGGTTGTTTAACAAGAGAGTTTCATGATTTCCAGGAGCTGTGTGCCTGAGATCAAGGTCAAGGCTGATAAAACTCTAGCACAGAACCTCCTCAAATTAGGGCATTGCTACAGCAGCTAGGCATCCTGTGTCTTTGCACAGAAATTTTCCAAGCAGCCAGACATTCTGTGTCTTTGCATTGAAACTTCCTAGCAGCTAGGTATTCTGTGTCTTTGCACAGAAACTTCCTAGCCAACAAGTATGCCACAGTCATGAAGCCATCAGAGACTCCAATCCCAAATACAGAACCCCTACAACTATTAAGATAAAATTCAAGTTGATGGTATGTATAGTGATGCTAGAATGTATATCATGTATGAAAATATGAAAAATAATGCTAAGTATGTGCAAGAATACATGTGGAAAAACTATATTGATGCTCATGGGTATGATATGCAATAAGTTCAAGACAGAGGTAAGAGGAATAAGCAAGTTTTATAGGTAGTTTCAATAATATTTTATTTAAGTTGCAGGTGAATATATGGGTGTTTATTATATTAATTTGCATATCATGTCTATTGTGCACAAAATATTATTCTTTTCATTAAAGCCATTAAAAATTATGTGGCATACCATGTGCATAAATAAGGTATCGTGAATCCAGGAAAGGTGATACTAGTAGAAGCACTGAGGGGAGAGTAGGCTTCTGATAATCTTGCTTATAATAATTTTAAGTCAATAGATACATTCATATTCCTGGTGCTAGGGAATATATTGGTTTACTCTAGTGAACATATGATATCAAAAATTACAGTTGTAGGTGGCACCATCACATGATAAAGTTTGTGAGAGTATTTAATTATTTTCTGTAAACCATCTTGATGTTTCACTAGTGAAATGGACACATGAAACTGTGATGGGTCACAATTATCACCTGGAAGTTTTATGTCTTGATTACAACACAAATTCCTGTAACACCTAAGACGTGAATTTTTCTTTTTTTCTGTAGTAAGGATTGAACACAGGAATACTCTATCATTGAACTCCATCAGCCATTTTACAATTTTTTTTTTATTTTGAGATATAGAGTCTTCCTAAGTTGTCAGGTTGCCTAAGACTTTTGATTCTTTTGATTTACCCTTCTGGGTGCCTGGGATTACAGGCTGTACCACTGCATCCAGTGTGAATTTAGTTTTGATTTGCTATCTTGGTAGAAATAAATGGGTAGTTTCAGTGGCTTGCACTTGGCCCTTTATACCATGGAACTCTTAATTTTCAGGTCAGAGATCTAGTGTGGGGATTCTGATAATTTCTATGTATATTTATTTCTACTGTATAGTATGAAGGGGGATGAAGATCAGCATCTCATTAAGGGGTTCTTCTTCCTGCCCAGGATAATCCAAGCCACCCTAAAATTTATAATCTCAAATAATTAGTAAATAATAAAGCACAAATACTCTGAAATATATTTACAGAAAGCAAAGCCCCTGATAGATCTAGTCTCCATGGGTCCTGGAACTAGGTAAATGAAAGATGCCTCGGATGGTTTATTTAAGGGGGTACAACAAAGGCAGGGGTAAGGTTTCAAGGGCAGAGACTTGATCATGATTTCTTGCAGTCAGCAGATTGGTTGACATCTTGGCAGGTCACACCCATCTCAGGTGCTGGGTGGGATCTTTGGCAGGGCCTGAGGGGGAAGTTCACCTGCATCAGCAGTCAATCCCTGTGAGGATGCCACAGGGAGTTCCTAATGCCAGACTTATTCCCTCAGGAGGCTACTATGCTCAACAGTCCACACACAGCCCATGCTCGGCTTGTGACTGTATACTTTGGGATCAGGCTGCATTCCCTTTGGGAGGTGATCTGGGATGGGATGCACTAGGTAAAAATTCATTGTCTTGACCATCATCAGTTCCACTCTGACCCATGTACTTGTTGGTAGTTCAGGTCTTTGAAGAACAATATCAGTTTTAAATGAATATCCAATAAGAAAAACCAAATGTTTTCCCCATATTCCATTGCCAGTCACATTTGCAAGTGGCCCTGGGTTCCTCTGAGGAGAGCTTGAAGAAATATATCCATGAGTATATTGTTGGAGCTTTTTCTCAGGACATGGACTTCCCCTCAATTGTTGATTCCAAATATATAAATGGATTTAGGTCTTGTAACTGGGTGTTTGTGAATCATCCTTTTAGTAACTTCTTCCACATTTCTGCTCAAAGTCATAGATATGTATGTATTTTTGATTTCCATTCAGATCAAGGAAACCCAACTTTATTGCAGTATCTCTGTGTCATCTTTGAATTATTCATTCCAGTCAGAAAAGAGCTATCCAGGTGCATACCATTACCAATGCAATTTCCCTCCCTTCCTTCCTTCCTTCCTTCCTTCCTTCCTTTCTTTCTTTTCTATTAGAGATTGAACCCAGAGGTGCTTAACCACTGAGCAACATCCACAAACTTTTTTTATTTTTTTTAATTTAAAGACAGGGAATCACTAAGTTGCTTAGGGCTTCGCTATGTTGCTGAGGCTGGCTTTGAACTTGCTATCCTCCTGCCTTAGCCTCCAGACCTGCTGGGATTACAGGTGTGCACCACCATACCTGGTCCAATGCAGTTTTTAATGCTTTAGAATAAGGAAAAGATTTCTGAGCCCTAGGTTTTAAATGTTTTGAACACATTTATTTGTGAATTACACAAAGCTGTAAACATGTCTTACCAATTATAATAAAGATTATTAGATTCAGCATTATATTTTTATCTGTTATTCAGTTTTTGAATTTATTGTTCTCATCACCGATTTTTCCTTATTCTTGTATTAACAAATACAGTGGGTGAAAGTATTAGGATGTATTGTATAAAACACAGCTTCAAAACTATACTCATTAAGAAAAAGACAATGGAATTTTGCAGGGATTTAAATGGAGTCACTTTACTCTTGAGAAGAAATGTTGCCATGTTATTATTTTATCTCAGAAGAGCATCTGCAGGTAGCTTTGCAGTTTTCTTTTGTGATGTTTATATCACACCCGAATTCTTTGACTAAATCTGCACAATTGAAGAACCTATCAATATACTTGCAGGGATTGGCTAAAATGAAACAAAAGACAAAATGGTGTTTCTTAGTCTATAGTATTACTTTCCCCAAACTGTATCATCTCAAGAAAAACCCACTTTCTCTGTAATTGTTCATTTCTTTAATTCTCCTTATATAAATAAGGGAAAACAGGCTTAAATTATTTTAATAGACATACCTGATGTAGCAGATATAGAATTCTCAAAATATAGAGCTTTAAGAAAACAAAGAAATTTTCTATACTGTTTGAATAAAGTGTACAGTAACAGAAATAAATTTATTTCTCAATATATTAGCCCAGCACATGCATGTGTGAGGGTATGTGTGTTGTTATATAAGTTTGTACAACAGAGAAATGATAGAAAAGAGCAAGGGTTGTAAGTAGAAGCATAAAAGCAGTTCATGTTTCACGCAACAACACACAGGTATGGAGTAGCAACCAAACAAAAAGAAAAGTAGCCCAGACTAGCAGTGATTCTGCTGTGTGTGTGTGTGTGTGTGTATGTGTAGTTTATGGGGAGTAGTAGAAAACTTGCTGGAACCTTCAACATATGTGTTTAAAATAGTCCAGTATTCTTTTTCAGGTGCCTGCTTCCCATGATGTATGGTTGCTAGAGAGGAACCATTTTTTTCTTTTCCTATATTTCCTGATTTTTATTAAGGGTAGGAGCAAATTGAGCCTGACCCTACCTAACTTTTTATAGTCAGTTAGTTTCTAGACATCTGTTTTTCCCTTCCTTAACTAAAGACAAGTTGAAGATTCTAAAGGGAGCTAAATGGAAAATTCAACTCCACTTTGGCATGGCTTAAATTTGTTTTGCATTACTATTTTTTTTTTTTTTTTGGTACAGGGATTGAACCTGGGGCTCTTAAACACTAAGTCACATCCACAGACCTTTTTTATATTTTATTTAGAGACAGGGTCTCACTGAGTTGCTTAGGGCTTAGTTACTGAGGCTGGCTCTGAATTCACCATCCTCCTGTTTCAGCCTCCCCAACCACTGGGATCAGAGGTGTGCACCACTATGCCAGGCCTGCATGACTATTTTTATCTTACTTCAGTTAGTGTCATCCTGAAATAGCAGCTGCACTTACCACCAGAACTTTTAATTCTGTGTTTGTTATAAAGAGCAGAAGGACTGAAGTAGGAAAAGGAGGGCCCAGAAGCAGGATGGGGACATGCTTGTATCAGGGTGAAATCTCAGCCTGTCTTCCATATAAGATCAGAGTACGTGGAAACATCATCATTTGATAAAGAACATAAATGACTTACTGCAAAGCCCATTATCACAGTTATTAGGGCAGTCCCCACATGGTTTTCCTTTTTTATATGGGGTCTTCTTTGTATTTCTATTGTTTCCCCTGGCAAAGAAATATTTGGAGGAATGGATTAGTGACAACATTAAGGAATTCGAGATTTTACCATGTGTGTGGACTACAGTCACAGGAACTCACAAAAGGAAAGATTTCTGAAGGCGGGAGCCATAAAAATAAATTGAAGGTAAATTATGCAGGATTTAAATATATGCAGAAGAAAAGAGTCAGAATTGGACCACCTTTCCAATAGACAAAGGGCATACAAACAGAGGACAAATTTACAGTGAAGTTAGTTCCTAAGAATCAGAGCAAATATGTCTTGCTTCTTTATTAGATGATTTTTCTTTCATTGCAAATTTATTAATGTCAACTATGCCAGGCACTTATTATGACTTATCATATTTAATCCTGATAAAAATCCCTGGATACATTGCCACTGCCTCTTTACAGGTAAGTGGAAAGGAGCTCCAGGTTATTAAGTTTTTGGTGAACTGAAGCCCACATAGCTAGCAAATAACCATGCCAATGTTTGTCCTTGAGTCTGATGGTCCACAGAGCCCATGCTGTATGCATGATGCCATCAGCTTCCTAGTTTTATCATCCCTTAGTTCTAACTGCTTGTTTCTTGTCTTTTCCAATGCTCCCCTTTCTTCCAAATCCATGCTCAATGTCTATGCAGCTACCTTATAAGCTCAGATTGACAAAAGGAGTTGGTTCATAGCCCAAGTGCAAACCATTGACCTACCATAGGCCAAAAAAGATCCTCTGTGCAATACTTACTCTGGGCAATAATGACAAACGTAGAAATAGGAGAGGTGCTTGTGAGGACAGTGGGCTAAGGCACAACCAATCTGGTGGGAAGTGGCCCAAACAAGCTGCAGGAGAAAAGTTTAAAATAAAATTATTTAGATTAAGTTGATAGTGTTCACAGTATATGACATTTTGTTTCTTAATTGCTGATTAAAAGTTATTAATGAAGAGAATTTTAAAAGCTGAAAAATATTGTCTTCCAATTTCCAACATTTCCATCTAAAACTGGATGATTACTCTTTTAAAAAATTCCTTTCAATTATAGAGCCTCATTTAAAGTTACAGGAAGCTTTATACATCCATGATACATTTGTTAAAACAGTTGATCCACCCTGTGGTTAGTAAAGAAGTGGGCAAGTGGGTATCAGGCCACCAGGAAAAGTAGCAAACTGCAATTCAAGTTTTGCAGGGAAAAACAATAAGAAATCATGTCAACCTTGTGCCTTTCTGCAGATATATCAATTTTCACAAGATAACTTCAATTTTGTGTCACAAAAATACAAAAATTACTTATTCAATACTATTAAAAATACTTTGTATGCATACAAGTACATACTTCATGATTATTATTTTCTCTTTAGCATTTCAAGCTGTGACTGGCTCAGTGAAAATAGCTCAAAGCTTTTGTTTCTTTGCTTCAAGATAATTTAATGTTGCCTAAATATAACTGAGATAATTTTATTACTTTATTCCTATGGCCATTATTTGAAAGACTCTATTGTGGTAAATCCAAAATCACAAAAAGCACATAGGTGTTTGAAAATATCCTAGAAATAGTGGCTATTGATGGGTAATGTATGCTTCATAAAGCAGGGTAGTTTTCATACACAAACTCAGATAACCATAGTTCAGATGTATGTGGCATCTCCAGGAAAAACTGAGGAAAAAGATTAGTTTGGGATGATAGAAGAAAGAGAAGCATTAAGGTTTTGGCATTATGTTTTTACCTGGGTATAATGACCAGTTTTAGAATTTGCTCGAATATCTCCAACTCCATATTTAAAATTTTTAACTTCATCATAAAAAACTTGGATTATATGTGACCATGGTAAGGGAGCGCTGGACATGAATAAATTCTCTCCACAATTAGCAACTAAAAATTAGAAAAGATAATGAACCAGTAGTTAAATCAGTACTTGTAAAGATTTCTCATTGAAAATTATTAAAATTTTTTAGTTTCTGAGATCAATATTGCTTCTCATTCATGTACAGTTATCTTCAACTGACTGATTTGTGGAAGAAATCCAGTATCAACTTCAAAAGCATTGCTCTGTGACTTGGAATCACTTCCTTTTCCTTCTCCCCATGAATGAATAGATCTTTTAAAAATGTAATTAATGCTTTGTTTTCAAACTGATTATGTAGCTTTCTTTCTGGAAAAAAAACTCAGCAGAAAAATTCCTTCCTATAAACTAGATTTAGCACCAACTTTCACAGAGTCTCAGAATTGGAAGGAACAAGAGAGATAAGATAACAGATATGATTTTGGCAATATCGATAAACTCAATGTTTTGTCAATTATTGAGTATTTTCTCTCATGCCTTTATAACATACATGTAGGGGATATTGAGGAAATTACAAACATGACTTTTGTACTTTGGCTCTTAAGGTGGGGAAATAAGGTGCACACATGAAGCAAACAGCAAACTGATCAGAGCTCAGATGTAGTGTCTAGTGGGTAAATGATGAATTTAAAGTCATGGACACAGGAGTGACAAGGCCATGTTTGGAGTAATCAGTAGGCTGAACAGATTTTAGTAAAAGATATAAGGTAAATTTTAGAGTTGTCAGGTAGAATGGAACAGGGTGAAGACCTTGGAACACAGGTAGAGAATTAATTCACTATTAAACTGATTTTCACTTATGCTCTGGAAAATTATCCTAAGTGGTAATAATAAAATATTCCTTATAAAAATAAAGTAATAATTTTCGCCAGGAGCTCATGGTCTGATGGGTTTGGCCATAATATTCTCAGTGGGAGATTTTTAGATTTTGAAGAATAAAACTTGGCATATGGCTACCATGGACGATTAATATCTAAGTGGACTTAAGTTCCAAAAAATATTTAAAACAATCTATTTTTGTTCTCTTTTGTCCTAACTTTTGCTTTTCACTGCTTCTCAGACAAAAATATAAATATCTGGTGTGAAGCAGCAGGAATAAAGTCATTTTAGGATGAGTCTTGAAAAAGAAAAGACTGGAAGTAAATAAATGAGTGTGAGGGTGGATGAGAAGACCAAAACTGATATATAAAAGCAAGTCCTTCATTTCCAAACTTATTCTCTTCCTCATTCATAGTTAATCTTTTTTTGGGGGGGGCAGGCAGGGTGGGGGTGGGAGAGAGAGTCCTGGGAATTGAACTCAAGGACACTGGACCTCTGAGCTACATCCCCAGCCCTATTTTGTATTTCATTTAGACAAGGTCTCACTGAGTTGCTTAGTGCTTGGCCATTGCTGAGGCTGGCTTTGAACTCTGGATTGTCCTGCTTTAGACTCTGGAGCTCTGGGATTAGAGGCGTACACTACCATGCTGGTTCATAGTTAATTAATCTTTAGCTTTTAAAAATGCCACCACATGGAGCTGGTGTTGTGACTCAGAAGTAGAGAGCTCACCTAATATGCGTGAGGCACTGGGTTTGATCCTCAGCACCACATAAAAATAAAATAAAGATATTGCATCCACCTATAACTAAAAAATTAAAAAAAAATGCCACCACATTAGTCATTAGAGGTTTGACTTACAACTAACTTTTCGTTGACTTCTTGAGCTGTGAGACAAGGTGCACCTGTTTGCCCACTTTTCAGCATTCTTGGCAACTTCAGCATTCCAGTTCTCAAAGCACATGACAAACATTTACAAGTTAAAATAGGATGGTTTCACAATATAATGGTTAAGTATATGACTATGTTGAAAACAAATACCTGTCTGAAGAATCATTTTCTATCATTTCTCATTTCCCCCCGATTCTAATAAAAGACACATTTCTTGCTTCCTAAATTATTGAGTTACCACAATATATACATCTGGGGGTCATAGAATAAAATATTTTGGGAAAAATAGTCATCTAGTGTTCCAGAAGCACAATAAACATTTTAAAACTGTGGGCATAATCTTTTAGAAGGACAAAACATTTTTTTAATGATTATATCTAACTAATAAGAACTGAGATCTAAGCATGTGCTGTTTGGCCCCTGTAATTGGTACTATAAATGTAATAGTTTTCATAGACTAATATACTCTCAGAAACTAGACTTTTCTAATTCAACATTAGAAAAGTCTGTGTTATACTTCACAGTTGTGAAGGAAAAGATAAATGCCCACTCTATCCCATATCTCAAAATTTCAAAAAATCTAGGAAAATCAATATAAATAAATATTTTATTATTATAATTCTGACAAGTTAAGCAAAGATTCCTAGAGATTGCTTTTGAAGAAGAAAGAATTTTTCAGAGTAGGATGAGAAAAGATGTTTACAATAGAGCAAAATTATCTTATATCTTTGAGAAGGCAACATTAGTTACTTATTAGAGTCATGAGGTATTTATTCCCTGCACCCGGCACAAAAGAACTACTTAGAAAAGAAAGACTCAGTAGAAAAATTCCTTCCTGAAATCTAGATTGAGCACCAACTTTCATAGCATCTCAGAATTGAAATGAATTAGAGAGAGAACAGATTTTATTTCTTATTTGTCATTGAAAACTCCTCTAGGGCTGGGGTTGTGGCTTAGTGGTAGAGCGCTTGCCTAGTGTGAGGCACTAGATTAGATCCTCAGCACCACATAAAAAATAAATAAATAAAATAAAGATATTGTGTTCATTTACAACTAAAAAATATTTAAAAAGGGAAAACTCCTGTAAAGGATAGTATTTAGCCTCTAAATGAAATATATGCCTTCTAAGACAGATTATTGTAGCAAATTGCTAGTTTTGGTTTTAAAAACTTACCTAGCTATATATACTTCCAAAGATATTTGATCTGTCCCAACAAATCTATTTTTCATATGATAACACTTTAAATACTTGAATTTAGAAGAGAAAGAAAAAAACTGATTTTTATTAAGTACTCATACATACGTGGCTTTTTATTTACATTAATATCATCTCTATTTATTCCCACAAAGGTACAGCAAATTTTGAGTTAATTCCACTACTAGAAAGAAATTTGAGGAACTTACAGATTACATAACTAGCCCGAAACCAACCATCATATCCTCCTGATATTTTTTATGTGTATAAATATCTCCTGCTTTGTTGTATTTTGGTATAGCATTCTATCATGCTAATAAATATCTGCATATGACCCTTTGATCAGTGTACTGTCTAAATACATTATATTATATAACTTAAGAACTAATCATAGCAGAAAAGAGCAAGACTTTTAATTTACAAACCTATTCACCATATTTTATTATAGATCCTAAGATTTCATTTGCAGATTGGTGTCTATTCAATTTATTTAATCTGTAAGGTTTCTTGCATATCATCTACCCATTAACTATACCCCCATCCTTGCTTATAGAATTAACTTTTGTTTTTCAGTTCAAAATTGTATATTTAATGGCCAGTTCCAGACACTGAGATGACAACTATCCAGTAATATAAACAGATTATTTTTAAATCTATAGGTCCTGGTTTAATGTCCATTGTTTAATGGCTAAATGCTGATTGTAATGATTCATTGACAAGATAGGGCTTACCATTTTAAGCATATTGCTTGCTCTAGGATTTGTCATCCTCCTAAGATCATTGTGCTTATTAGTAATCTCCATTTGAACTGATGGATGATGGGTCAATAAAGAGAAAAATGAGACATTCGCCTTTAAAAAGAAGCAAGAAGTTAACAAAGTTACAACATTGACTATCAAAGTAACAGAATTACAATTTACTCTATCAATATAGTAATTGATAAAATGTTTAGTTTTATGATCTCAAACTTTAATAATGACAGCAGTTACCCAGGACTTTTTAACCTGCAGAATGCTAGCCTCCATCTCCTAGTTTCTGATTCAGGAAGCCAGGGTGGGACCAGATAATTTGCATTTCTAATAAGTACTCAGGGCCTGTGCTTTGAGAATTACATGTCTAATTTACAGAATTGTTCTGGGAAACATGGGCTTGTCTTTTTGAATTACTCATTTTTTCCATTAGTAATAGATTAATATGATCTGTAACTTGTCTACACATGATCCTATCTCTCAACAATGCAAGAATTTAAAATCCTCATCAGTGGCCTAATTGTACCAGAAAATTCCAATAAGAAATACTTTCTGGAGCTCTGCAAAAATAGACTGTGACCCACATGGTAGCCAGCAAGACAGATTTATTCAAAATGCAGATAATACCATTTTTTAAATATAGTGAAACAGAGAAAGGCTATATTATATAAGATATTAATCAAATTAAAAATATGAGTAGCATTCCAGGGTTCACTTGCCAACAATGTTCAGTATATCTTATAAGAATATGTTTTCTGTGCATATGTATGTTTAAATTAACCTCAAGAAATTGTCATTTTCTATCTTTATAAGAGTATAAACAGAGGAACATTTTTAATGTTTAGTTTTTATTAGTGCATATTAATTATACAGAATGATGTATTTTACTCTGGCATATTTATGCATATATAAAATCACAATTCGATTAATTTTAGTAACCAATATCTCCTCTGCCCTTTATCTGCTCCCACATCCTCTTCCTCTACTCTGTTAATCTCTCTTCTAATTTCATAGTCTTTTTTTTAAACCCTTCTAGCTTGCACATAAGGGAAAAAACATATGATACTTTTGTCTATGAGTTTGACTTATTTTGCTCAACATAATGGTCTCTAGTTCCACCAATTTTCTTGCAAATCACATCATTGCACTCTTCTTTATGGCAGAATAAAACTCCATTGTATAGGTATAGCAAATTTTCTTTATCCATCCATCTGAGGACAGACACTTAGGCTGATTCCATAACTTGGTTACTGTGAATTGTGCTGAAATAAACATGGACATGCATGCATCTCTAAAATATGTTGCTTTTAATTCTAGATAAATATGGAGTGGTAAAATATAATTACATGATAGACTTAATTTTGGCTCTTTGGAGAACCCCCATAATGATTAGTGGCTTTTCTAATTTATATAATTAGCCTTAGTGTGTAAGAATTCTTTTTTTACCCTGAATCCTCACAAGCATTTATTGCTATTTGCATCCCTAATACTTGTCATTCTAGCTGGAATGAGATGGAATTTCAGTGTAGTTTTGATTTGCATTTCCCTGATCACCAAAATTGTTGAATATTTTTTATATAGTTATTCGCCATTTGTACTTCTTCTTTTGAGAAGTGTCTGTTCAATTCATTTGCCAATTTATTGATTGTTTTTTTTTAATTTGAGGTTTTTGAGTTTTTCATATATTCTGGATTTTAGTCCTCTGTCAGAGGAGTAGCTGACAAGGATTTTCTCTCATTCTATTGTTGTTTCTTCACTCAGTTTATTGTTTTCTTTGCTGTGCAGAGTTTTTCAATTTGATGCCATCCCATTTATTGATTCTTTTTCTTATTTACTGAACTATAGGTGATCTTATTCAGGAAGATTTGCCTGCACATACACATTAAAATGTTTCCCCCATTTTTTCTTTTAACAGAAAAAAAATTCTTATAGTTAACTCTTTGATCCATTTGAGTTGACTTTTGTACCAGTCAAAAGATAAGAAATGTGTCTCCTTAGCATGGTGCAGTGGCACACACCTTTGGCTAGGGAAGTTGAGGCAGGAGAATCATAGTTCAGAGCCAGCCTCAGCAAAAGTGAGGCGCTAAGCAACTCAGTGAGAACCTGTCTCTCAATAAAATATAAAATAGGGCTGGAGATGTGGCTCAGTGGTTAATTGTCTGGAAAAAATTATTTGCCCATTTATTAATTGTTATGGATATCAGTCTTCTACATATGGATATATACTTTCTCAGAATCATTTGTTAAAGAGGGTGTCTTTTCACCAATGCATGTTTTTGGCACTTTCATCAATAGTCAGATGACTGTAGCTATGGGGTTTGTTTCTGTCCTCTATTCTGGCCCACTGATCTATGTGTTTGTTTTTATGCCAGTGCTAAAATATTTTACAGAAGAGCATATGTTTAAAAACTGAAAAAAATATCCATTTAAAAATTAAGGAAAGGGCTGGGGATGTGGCTCAAGCGGTAACGCTCTCGCCTGACATTCACGGGGCACTGGGTTCAATCTTCGGCACCACATAAAAAAATAAAGATGTTGTGTCCACCGAAAACTGAAAAATAAATACTAAAAAAAAAATTCTCTCTCTCTCTCTCTCTCTAAAAAAAATAAGGACAATGAAAGCACAATGAATCCTTGGAAACTATCTAGTACAAGACTGTGATGATTCTTTTCTAATTGCTGTCTCGCTCAATCCAGTTATTATCCACCCTTTTCTGCCCTGACTTGTGCCAGGAAGCTGGTCCTTCCAGCTTGCACTACCTGGGCTTTCTTCCAGTTTTCTGGGTCAAAGGGAGAAATTGGAGGAACTGAGGGTGAGGAGAGAGGTGGGGCACCTCTTGTTTACTCCCTTGACTTCTGCACTTCATTTCTGGGAATAGCTCCCTGCATTATAAATCCACTTTGGTGGCTTCACACTTTCTTTCATTTCCTCCTTGCATCCCTCAGGCCTAGGAGTAGAAAGACTTCCTGCTGTTGTCATTCTCCATTCATGTTCCTTCCAATCCTATTCTGCCTGTACATAAACATCCCTCACTGAAGATCTTCTTTCAAACCACCTGTGGAAATCTGTTCCCTGTCTAGACTCTAAGTGAAAGATTCTTCTTTGTTTTGCAAGAAACAGATTCAGAAAGGTTGACTGAGTTATGTGAGCATCTCTTTTTTTTTTTCTTTATAACCAGGAACTGATTACTTAAACTTAGGAGGGCAAATTAATAAATGACAACAGATCTCTCACAGGATCTCTCGTACCTCAGGGCTCTATTTCAATAATGAGGGTAGTATACTGGAGCTACTACTACATTTTTAGAAAACAGTTTACTATAATAGACATTTTGCAATAAGTGAACTCACTTACTTTTTTATTCCTTTATTAGTAATCACTTTTTTAACCAGTGGTCAAAATTAAATGAAGTAGTTGGCAAAATACTATAGGCTTCTAGGAAATATAATTTCAGAAGACACACAAGTATATGAGTATGCTAAATCCATCCCTTCTTCTGCATAAGGTTGTTTCAGTAGCCTAATATCTAATTTCTTTTCTTACTATACACAGACCTTACCTCAAATTCACCTTATATACACTACTAGTTTTGCTTTTCCAGTTATATCATTATAGAGCACAAGGCAGCAAAAATAGTGATTTATAACTTAAAGCAGTACGTGGATAATAAGTGGGAAGAATGCTAAATATGTTTTCAAAGATACAGATCACATCATTCAGGAAAGAGTCCAAAAGCAAATGACAGAAATTCTTGAGGTACAGCAGATCCCCTGGAAGGTAGCAGGGAGTACTAAGTAGGCACATGCCATGTGATCAACCTTAGCAACACTCGTCAATATGTTGTGTTTTCTTTACATCTTAAAAAAATGGTGAAATAATTTTAATATCTGCTATTTATGGAACTACTGTTATATAATTTAATTCTCAAAGCAAGCCATTGTGGTAGTTATTTTTCTCATTGTAAAAACGCAATATTCTAGATCAGATAAATAGTTCTTTAATGGGCAATGTTCAGACAATTAGTCAATGTTAATAGACACTGGCTAATGCTGTATGCTCATTTTATAGATGAGGACCCTAGAAATTGGAATATGTGAAAAATATCCTTAATCTCCTTTGGAAAATGAACAATATTAGGCCAAGATTTAAACCAAATTCTCTCTCATTCTCTCTGCTTGGGATATATATATATATAAATATATATGTATATATATATCACATATGTATATCACAATATGTATATCCATAGATATAAAACATATAATCATATGTGTATGTATACATATGTACATAATACACACACACACACACACATATATATATATATATTTTTTTTTTTTAATTTTTTTTTAGATGGGGTCTTGCTATGTTTATCATGCTGGTCTTCAACTTCTGGCCTCAAGTGATTCTCTTGCCTCAGCCTTCCCAGTAGCTGAAACTGCAGAGAAAGGCCACTACACTTGGCTGAACCAAACTCTTTTGATACTAAATAGAGTCCTTCCAAATCAACACACTGGCACCTGGAATACAGCTACCACCTAGGAAATAGTGTAAATAAACTTCATCTAAAATTCTTCCTCTCCTGTATTGACACCCATCTATTTATGTGGTTGGCAAAGATACTAAGAAAAACTCTGCAGATACCTAACTATGGGATAACTTGATTTTACTTATCTTCCTTTGAGGTATGTAAAATTTATTTTACCTTTTTGGTTTCTTTAAGCACATTTTAGACTAAAAAAAGCTTTAGTTCTTTAGAAGTCAGACTAAAACACTATTCCTTTAAATAAAGACAGAAGCTGAATTACAATAATTATTCTAGTTTGAGGTATGAAATCAGTTTCCATTCTCCTGGTACACAGTGTAATTTCAGTGTCCTACTTATCCTTATGTCCACCTAAGAGCTGACTCTCCCAATGAGGGTGAGAGGAAGTGGAAACTTATATGCCGATCTCTTATTACTTGACTGAATTTCCTGTTTTAGAAAGGAGAGGGATGTGTTTCACTTCTAGAATAAAAATTCACATATTTCTCTAATGGCTCATTGTCCCCTTGCTTCTCAATCTACTATACTCAATACCACACTATACATATCATTATGATCATATCTGGTGTTTGTATTGCTGATCTACTGTTTTATTGCTTACCCTATAGTATTAATAAGTTCACGAGAGTTACTCTTTCCTTTTGTCTGATAATTTAGTCATTAAACATACACAGTGATGAGAACAAGATGAAGTAAAAGGTGTATTATGTGGCCAGATAATATGTCCTTCCATTCTCTGTCTCAGAACATTTGACACTATCATAATTTCCTACATAACAGCCACTGGAGCTATGGTTGAGGCAATCCTACTAATAGGGCTCAAAATTTATTATTAGATTAAATCCATACCATGCCTGCAGCGTGTTGCAGAAGTACCACGAAACATATGCCTGCTAACACCATTGTCTCTGGAAGAAATGAGGTATTTATGAGACTTACATGTTATAAAATTATCTTACTCTCTGAAAAAATTACATTTTTAAGGAATAAAATTTGTGGCTTTTTGTAGAGTTCAAAAACTTTTGTGGGAACAGATATCCTTGGTCAGATGGACAGTTTTTATTAATAAATATCTGTCTTACTCTTTACTACAAATGTAGACTTTCTTTCTTTCTTATTCATTCTCAGGCTGGAATCCCAGAATATAGCAGCAAATTTTTCCTATTTCCTTTAGAAGGAAAAAATATTTGAGAACTAATCAATACATAATAGTAAAACTTGGACTATGATAATCCATATCACTAACAAACATCTCCAATTGCAAGGAAGTTAATGTAAAACCTTGTTTTAAAATTTTTCTCTGTTGGTCATGGTAATCTTTAAGATACTACTGAGAAAGACATTAATTTTCAAGTAAGCACACCAAAGTGATAGAACTCTGAATATGCATTCATCTGAAGAGAAACCCCTGGAGAAAGTGATGAGTTTATAGATACATTACACTTCTACCTTAGGTTCATATAATTGTCTATTATTATTATTATTATTATTATTATTACTGAAACATTGTTAAATATTTTTTGCCACAGTCCCTTTTTTAATTTTAGAAGTTACTTCTTTTTTCTCCAACATTAGTTCATTTATATATTGTTTGAGCTGAGTAGTTGTAATAGAGACCCTGTGGCCTGCAAAACCTGAAGTATGTAATATCCAGCTCTTTATAGAAAAAGTTTGCTGACTTCTGGGAAGAATATTGACAGCAGGTTAAAAAAAAAAAGGAAGAAAGCCCCTTTTTCTCATCTACATCCTCCATTGTGTTTTATTGACTCTTTAAAAAAACCCATACATACTAATTATACAGAATAATGGCTTTCATTGTGGTATATTCATACACACATGTAACATACTTTGATTCTATCCACCTCCCACTATCCTTCCCTGCCCCTCCCCCATCCTTTTATTCTTTATTAGTCTCTCTTCTATAAAAGTAACTTCTTAAAACACCTTTTCCCTATTAAGTTTCACTCTAGTCCTTCTCCTTCTTCTTCTTCTTTTCCTCCTCCTTCTCTTCTTCTTCTTCCTCCTCCTCCTCCTCCTCCTCCTCCTCCTCCTCCTCCTCCTCCTCCTTCTTCTTCCTCTCTTCTTCTTCTTTTTAACGATCACTAAATATTGAAGCTGGCTATTACAGGACTCCTATTGAATAGTTGGACAAATTGCCTCCTTCAATCAATTCAAGTATGATATGTCTTGAATATCCTCTGTACTATAGTAGCTTTATCCTAAAGGTACTTCAGTTTATCTACAATCCCATTTATAAGTGTTATGTCAAATATGAATATAATATTCCTTACATGATCCATTTTTCTTGATTCTCTGCTATATTAGACCATGGCAATGCTGAGAAAAATATTGGAAGCAAGTCCTGATGATTACTAGACTCTTAGCTACTAGAAGTAATGTTGGGGATAAAATTTAAGGCTACAAAAGTTTTTCCTTCAACTGTGGATAACTCTTATTTCAAAATAATGCAGTAAATACTATACCTGAGTTAGGAAGATGGGAAGGGTAAGTCGTTCCTGTGACCAAAGGAAGATGAACATATTTTGACCTTCAGTACAGCAATATATATATATATATATATATATATATATATATATATATACATGTAACACAAGTCACTTACTTTTCTTGTTTGGTTACCTTGAATTATGCAAGATAATGTGCCTTGGTGAAAACCCCCTATGGATCTTATCACATGTTTCAGTTCTAAATAAGTCATTATTTAATTCTAAAGAGAAACTCAGTTAATGTTGGCAATTCTTTTATAATTGGGGTTTACAGTATTATTAATAATGGATTACAGAAGGCTTAAACTTTTATAATAGTTCAGAGAGTATAATACTAGGTTAGTAGGTGGAGCTTTGTGTACTTATTTCTCAATAGTCCTCCACAGCATCACCTAATAATTAGCTTTTGGTAAACTACCTTTATGATGTCTAAGGATTATATAATACATATTACAAAATCCCACATCATATTATATTATTAAAATTATTAATGTAATTAGTGAAAAGTTTAATAAACAGTGAAATTTATTTTGATTTTCATTATTGAATTCCCCTATAATGAAATAAGATGTTAAAATAATTTTCCAGAAACATAAGATAATAGCACAAATTACTTAAAGTAAAAGTGTCACTGAAATGTATCAAAAGATGCAAAACAAATTATAGGTATGCATTCTCTACCCCCATGCCCCCTCCTTATCCTCCCTCCCCTTTGCCATATCTAAAGTTTGTCCATTCTTCCCATGCTCCCTCCCCATCCCCACTATGGATCAGCATCCTCATATCAGAGAAAATATTCTGCATTTAGTTTTTTGGGATTGGCTTACTTCACTTAGCATGATATTCTCCAACTCTATCCATTTACCTGCAAATGCCATGATTTTATTATGCTGAGTAATATTCCATTGTTGTATATTACCATAGTTTCTTTATCATTCATCTCTTGAAGGGCAGTTTTGCTATTGTGACTTGTGCTGCTATAAACATTGATGAGGCTGAGTCACTATAGTATGCTGATTTTAAGTCCTTTGTGTATAAACCAAGGAGTGGGATAGCTGGGTCAAATGGTGATTCCGTTCCAAGTTTTCTAAGGAATCTTCATACTGTTTTCCAGAGTGCTTGCATCAATCTGTAGTCCCACCAGCAATGTATGAATTGCCTTTTCCCCCACATCCTTGCCAACACTTTGTTGTTATATTCTTAATAGCTGCCATTCTGACTGGAGTGGGATGAAACCTTAAAGTAGTTTTGATTTGCATTTCTCTAATTGCTTGCTTTCCAGGATGGGGAGAGGCTAGGACTTGTGGTTAGAAGCTTTTTTCAAAAACACACTTCCTCCACCTCCCCAGCTCATTACCTACTGTACACACACCTTAAGCAAACGTAAGGGGAAAATTCCAGAGAAATAACTATAAAAATATTGATTGGATTGCAGGTGCTATTGGACATTGTCTAGCCAATAGTCATGCTGATATGCCCACAAGTTTATCTGAAAGTGAAGGAAATATTGGCAAAGAGGTCTGGATGCATAAAAATAGTCTGCATTGGAGCCACTGGATATCACAGTAATGCAGGATTTTCTTATGTAGTCAAGTGGGTCTATAAAGTTAGTTAGAGATTGAGATATTTTATGGGAACTATAAACAAAAGATGTGCTTTTCAGGCCAGGATGCACTGGAAGAAATAGGCTGTGTTTACCTGAAAGGTTTGTCATTAAAGAAAATGTTGTATAAAAAACATACATTGTTATTGGCACATAATGTGTGCTCAATAAATGATAGCTATTTTTATAATGATTATTAATCTGATTCCAACTTACTTTTCATTATATCCCACTGTTCTACTTGTGAAACCAAGTTTCCAATCATCAAACAAGTTACAACTTGCTATTCCCTGATTGTGACTAGTCCTTTTCAAGTACATTTTTTAAAAATATCAAATTTCCCTTCCCATACTTCCACATGACAAAAACTAACTACATCTTTAGGCTCATCAAGCATATGTGTAATCCCAGCTACTAGGAGACTGAGGCAAGTGGATCACAAGTTCAAGGACAGCCTAGGGGCAATTTGGTGAGGCAAGTATCATTATAATGAGAATTAAAAAGGGGCTGGGGGGCTGGGGTTGTGGCTCAGTGGTAAAATGCTTGCCTAGCACGCATGAGGCACTGGGTTCGATCCCCAGCACCACATAAAAAAAACTAAATAAACAAAAAAATAAAGGTAGTGTCCATCTAAAACTAAAAATACAAATAATAATAATAATAATAATTGTTAGAGTCTGTAAACAAGTCAAGATGGCGCCTGGCATTTTCCCAGGGGGAGTGGTTTGTGAGGTGGCGCCAGCGAACCATTAAAGTGTGGAGATTTCTTATTGGTTGACTGCTGTATCTAGTTTATGTTAATTAGATAAGCTGTGTGGAATGTATAAATACCCCTCCGGTCCTACAATAAACAGCTCCCACTCCTGCTGTATCAATGTACACAAGTTGCTCATCATCCCCCCCCCCCCCTGCTACTTTGCTGCAGCCAGCTGGGCCGTGGCAAATAATAATAATAATAATAAAGAAAGAAAAAAACGAGGGGGGACTGGGTTTGTAGCTCTGAGGTAGAGTTTCTGGATTCCATCCCTAGTACCACAAAACAAAGCACAATAAAACAACAATACAAAGCCACTGGACATTTGTATAGAATGAGCTTGAAATTGTCAGACATCTTATAAAGATAATTTGGAAGTTTCTATGGATGGTAGTAAAATAGGAGAATTGATCACTCACTGTTATCAATAAATGATGATTACCAGTTTTATTAATGCTAAGTGTGGGACACTGGGGTGGAATTGAAAATGACTTAAAGTCTTTTAATTATGCAATGCATGCCTTAAATTCTTTCAGTGTTGTGGAATGTATAAAAGCCTTAATAATTTCCATGTACTTAAAACTGACCAGAATTTTAAAACTGAATAGATAATTGGCTTTCATCACATAGAGTGATTCTAGCCAAGAAATCATTCAGATAGAGAATTTTTAGAGTGACTGGGAAATAGCTGATTTATCCTAAGGCTTGAGGGTTATTTTTTTGTTGTTGTTCTTCTTATATACTTTTTTTAACTAAATTTCATTTTCTTTCAAAATTAATTATTTTACCTGGCAAATCATATTGAATATGACACACTGAAGATGACACTGGGGGATGAAAAGACATCCTGTGTTTTGAATTGGGAGAGTCAATATTATTCGATTTGTACTACACAAAGTGAACTATAGATTCAATGCAGTTTGCATTAAAATACTAAAATACTAATGTCATTGTTCACAGACCTAGAAAAAAATGTCCTAAAATTCATTTCGAAGCATAAAGGATCCTGAGTATCCAACAATGAAAACAAGACAGTCTCTTCAACAAATGTTTCAGGGAAAATGAAATATCTACACACAGGAGACAGAAACTAAATTTCTATCTTTTAAACTCATACAATTATCAACTCAAAATGAATCAAAGGCCACACTCTAAGACCTGAAAGTCTGAAATTTCTAGAAGAAAACACAAGGAGAACACTTCAACATATCAGCACAGATAATGATTTCCTGAATTAGAATCCAATAGCTCAGGAAATAGAAGCAAAAATTGACAATTAGGTTAACATCTGTTGAAAAACTTCAGCACAGCAAAGGAACCAATCAAGAGTGAAGAGATAACCTACAGAATGGTAGAATATGTCTTCCAGCTTTTCATCTGACATAGAATTAATATCTGTAATATGTTAAGAAATTCAAAAGGTTGACAAGAGGACAAGTAATCCAATAAAAATGGATAAATGATCTGAACAATTTTCCAAAGAAGTACAAATGGCCAACAAGTACATAAAAAAATGTTCAATCTTTAGCCATCAGGGAAATGCAAATCAAAGCTACATTGAGATTCTATCTCCCCTGGTCAGAATGGTTATCATCAAGAAAACAAAAAAGAGCAAATGCTGGACAGGATATGGAATAAAACAATCTTTATATACTATTGATGGGAATGTAAATTAGTATAGCCACAATGGAAAACAGTATATAGGTTTATCAAAAAACTAAAATTACAGCTACCATAAAATCCAGCTATACCCCACCTGGGCATATAAACCAAGTAAATGAAGTTGACATAAAAAGGAAATAACTTACATACCTATGTTTTCTGTGGCACTACTTACGGTAGCCATGATATGAAATCAGCTCTGGTGCCCATCAACATATGAAATAAAAAATATGGTATATATAAACAATACAGCATTATTTAGCCAAAGGAGAATGAAATAATATCATTTTCTGGAAAACTGATGAAACTGGAGGACAATACTTTAAGCAAAATAAGACAGACACAGAAAGACAAGCATTGCACTTTTTTTTTTCATATGTGGAAACAAAAAACTAACTTGAGGGTAGAAGAAGGATTCTCAAGGGTAGAGGGTTGGAGGAGAAGAGGCAAAAGAGGGTAATAGGAAGTGTGGATTCTGTTAAAGTACAACATGTGTATGTATGAAAGTGTCACACTGAAACCCATTAATTTATATAAGTAATATGTATGAATAATAATAATAGTAATAATAATAAAGTTCCCTTTCTCTTTAAAAATGTTACTTCTCTCACCAGCTCTCATAATGTTAATTTCCAAGTCTTTAAATTTATCAGATATAAAATTAAAATTTATATTGATATTATTCTATTACACTTGAAGTAAGAAGTGATATGTAAAAAACAGGTAAATGCAATGATTTCACTTTCAAAGTCTGTAACCATTTATAATCTTGAAAACAGTATTTCCTAAATAAAAGAAGTGCACTCCAGATCTTTAGGCAAGAATTTAAAAACTCTGATGACCCAACTTCAACTTCTCCATTAATATATATTTGTTTACATATATATATATTTCATTTCCTTTAATACTTATTTATTACTATTACTATATATAGATATTATTCTGGATGTTGGATAAAAATAAAACACAATTTGATTTTGAAGGACTTT